CCCCCATTAGGTACACCTTTGGCCAACCTGTACAAGGGAAAACACAAATCCGGGTGTGCAGAGAGTATTATTCTTCAAGCAATTGTGAGAAAAATGACAATGAAATATGTGAGCAACTTGCTGCACAGGTACAGGCCATGATTTTTACTACAAAAAAAAGTTCTCACTCATTTTTCATTCTTATTGTTTCTTTGATTTCATTTATAAGAGGGGTTTGATAATACTATTTTAATTTTATTGATAAGGGAGGCTGCAGCTAAATAAAGTGAAGAAAGAAAAGAAAATACAGTGTGGGGCCGGGCACGGTGGCTCAAGCCTGTAATCCCAGCACTTTGGGAGGCCGAGGCGGGTGGATCACGAGGTCAAGAGATCAAGACCATCCTGGTCAACATGGTGAAACCCCTTCTCTACTAAAAATACAAAAAATTAGCTGGGCATGGTGGCCCGTGCCTGTAATCCCAGCTACTCGGGAGACTGAGACAGGAGAATTGCCTGAACCCAGGAGGCAGAGGTTGTGGTGAGCTGAGATTGCGCCATTGCACTCCAGCCTGGGTAACAAGAGAGAAACTCCGTCTCCCAAAAAAAAAAAAAAAAAAGAAAGAAAGAAAAGAAAATACAGTGCTTAACGTAGTCTTTTATTCTATAGGCCATGTAAATTGTTATCCACCTATAGATTCATGGGATTTTTAGAATCTGAAAGGTATCCTTGGCTTTATTGTTTTATATACTGTCAAGGTAGCCTCCCTGATTGTCCTTTGGAGAATCATTAATCATCCTTTAAATGCATCTGTGATATTACTCCCCATGTCACCTGGATTTTTTTTTTAGCAGAAACAGCTTATTTGCAATTGTCTGCAATTCAGAGCACCCACTATGTTACTTTAGACTTGCAGTTCATATCTGAAGTCATCGTTTGCTCTCTCCATCTGCAGCATCCTAACCTTCTGTGAGCAACTCTTCCTATCTCTTTGAGACTGTCTTTTGACCCCCTAAAGTGAAGCTGTGTAAGCCACATAGTTCATATTTTACGTCCAATTGTCCTAAAGTTACTCATCAAATTTAGTGAACATTTTCTAGGTAAATATCGATAATTGACAAAGACAAGCAGAATCCTACTTTATATAGGAAATGCAGGTAAAGAAAAGTGGAGTGGAATTCTTCCACATTAGCAGTATATTCTTCCATTGGGTAGTTCTGATAGAGTTCAGTCAACCAATTTACACAATGATGGATGTACTCTCAGCTAATGGTTTATTTTTCCTTTCATGTGAAAAAAAAATCAATAAACAATCTGGTGAAGGCTAGGAGCAGTGGCTCACACCTCTAATGGGAGCATTTTGAAAGGCCGAGGTGGGAGGGTCATTACTATATTCAGTAATTTATTTATATTTAGTAATAAGCACTGAATCAGCACTATATTGAGTGCTGATTCAGTGCTTATTACTAAATATATTCAGTGCTTATTACTAATAGAAATACAAATGTAAAAGATTTTACTATTTTCTTTCTTACATTATTTTGTGTTCCTAAATAATTTATTTTACATTTTTTACATTTTTACATTCTGTGCTTATTAAATAAAATAATTTATTTTACATTTTTAAATCTCTTTTAGTAAAAGAAATAAAAATAATAAATGTAAAATAAATTATTTACATTTTTCTTCACTACAGCTGAACTCCATTGATTTTGATGCAAAGCATTTTTTTCATTATTCTAATATCTGGATTCTTATTGGTTTACTTTGTTGGTTTATTTTCTCTTTGATTCAAGTATTCCTAAAAAAAGGTTTTTCTCTTATTTTCAAATTAAGGTTCTTCTGGTCACTTTTTATTATTTCATTTTAATTCAACTGTATTATAATTAGACAAAGTAAAATTGCTTTTGTTGTTGATGTAATAATTGGTAATTTAAAATGGAGAAGCGCATATTCTGGAATCAGAGCAGCTACTTAGCGCTACCATCTTATAGCTGTGCGATGTTGGACAAGTTACATGACGTACCTGTTTTAGTTTGTTCATCTATATAATAAGATAATAACAGTACCTAGCTCATATGATAGTTTTGAGTATCAAATAAACTTATATATCCTTATAACATTTTAAACCTAAAATTAATCAAGACTTTGTTGTAAAATATATCTATATTTCTCTAAGTATTGATGCTACTGATGATAGATTATAAGTTTTTTCTTATTTTAAATAAGCAATTTACCTTAAAAAGTGTTTGTTTTGTTGTTACACATTTGCTGATCACTTCTGTTCCATCTGTTTTAGTGCCTTTCTAGATGATTATAATTTATTCCTCTTAAAATACTGTGAACCAAAAGGCAGATTCAATCAATTCAGAAAGTGTATTTTTGCCAAGATTAAGGATGTACCCATGACACAGCCTCAAGACATCCTACTGACACCTGCCCAACCTGGTTGGGGTACAGTTTGCTTTTATACATTTCAGGGAGATGTGAGCCATCAACAAATATGTGTAAGATGTACATTGATTGGGTCCAGAAAGACAGGACAATCTGAAGTTTGGGGGCTTCCAGGTCATAAGTAGATAAGAGACAAACAGTTGCATAAAGAATAAGTCTTTGAGGCGGGGCCTGGTGATTCACGCCTGTAATCCCAGCACTTTGGGAGGCAGAGGCAGAGGCAGATGGATTACATGAGGTCAGGAGTTTGAGATCAGCCTGGCCAACATGGTGAAACCCTGTCTCTACTGAAACTACAAAAATTAGCTGGGCATGGTTACACGTGCCTGTAATTCCAGCTACTCAGAAGGCTGAGGCAGGAGAATAGCTTGAACCTGGGAGGCGGAGCTTGCAGTGAGCCAAGATTGTGCTATTGCACCCTAGCCTGGGCAACACAGTAAGACTCTGTCTAAGGAAAAAAAGGAGTAAGTCTTTGATCAGCCTTTCACTGAATAGACAACTTACATGTGAGAGGAGGATAGAGGAGTAATGACTTATGCCTTAGTCTGGCTCAGTAAATCTGCATTTTTACGTAAACTATAGGGCAGAGGAAGCAATCAGATAAATCATATATGCATTTGTCTCAGGTAAGCAGAGGTAGGACTTTGAGTTCTGTCCTTTGTCCCACACCTGTGAAGATAAGCTATGAATTTATATTACCAGGGTGAATTTCCAAAGAACTTTTTTAAGGAAAATTTATTGAGGCCCACAAGGAATTTCCTTGTGGACAAATTGTGAGGGAGGTATGTAGTTTTTATCCCCATAGCTACCTTGTTTAGGAATAAAATGGGAGACAGATTTGCCCAGCAATTCCCATTGCCCTTTCTCTTCAGTTTAGTGATTTTGGGGTCCTGAATTTACTTTCCTTTCAAAATACCATTCAGCTTCATTTCCATCGTTTAATCGCTCTCCATGTACAATGTTTACAGGAGAATATATAAAATACAGATTACCTCCTTACCTTATGTAAAATGATGATGTAAATATTTGCCTGCTCCTTCTCCTTTAATTCTTTGGCCATTTCAGCAAGTTTATGAGGTAGAGCCATGGCACGGAGCAGGGATGTTAATATATTTGTGTGAAAACTATATTTTTAAAAGACACTTAAAAAAAAACTCTTGGGACTCCTACTTTTAAATTGTGCCTTCTCTTTATTTTTCAGTTGGAAAATGGTTGTGTTTCTCAAATCATAAATACAAAAGTTTTCCAACTCTACCGCACTGGATTATTCATGACATTCCATGTCACTGCAGTTGTTACAGAATTTGGGACAGGTAATGATTGCATTTTTTGGATGACCTGGGGATATCTGGAAATTCACTGGAAGAAGCTTGTTGAGTTAGCACTAGGTACAAAATTCAGATTAATTATTTCCAATTTAATGAAACTGGGAATCGTTGCAAGTGCAAAAATTATTACTAAAAAATTTAAAAGATCACGCATAGTAAGTGTTCAATAAATATTTGTTAAAAGAATGAAAGAAGGGGCTGGGCACAGTGGCTCATGGCTATAATCCCAGAACTTTGGGAAGCCAAGGCAGGTGGATCACCTGAGATCAAGAGTTCAAGATCAGCCTGGCCAACATGGTGAAACCCCATCTCTACAAAAATACAAAAAAATCAGCCAGATATGATGGCAGGTGCCTGTAATCTCAGCTACTCGGCAGGCTGAGGCAGGAGATTGCTTGAACCCAGGAGGCAGAGGTTGCAGTAAGCTGAGATCACGCCATTGCACTCCAGCCTGGGCAATAGAACGAGACAGTCTCAAAAATAAGAATGAAAGAAGGGGGAAAGAGATTAATTATTGAATTTGGAATGGGAAATTAACTACTTATTAGTGGTTAATTTACTACTAATGAACTATAATTATTTCTTATTTAACTACTAATTATTTCTTGTTGTTTAAAAAGGGATTGGGATTATGCCATTGTAAGGTGCTCTCTATGACATACCTGATCCATATCATAATGCTGTTCACACTGGGCAAGCTGGTCACATTTAAATTGCTGTGGATGGTGACTTAGCTAGATATGGTTCACTCTCCTGTGTTCCTCATTCCTTACAGGTGTGCAGATCAGTGAGATGGCATCAGTTCTTATCACTCAATTGCTTGGAACTGTGAACTTTGAGAACATGGATACTTTCTATAGAAGAGGGATTTCTTACTTTGGAACTGTAGGTTTGACTAAAGAATACATATTTCCATTTCATTTTCTTGGATCATAGATTGCCCTTTGAAAATTTCTGGTCACTTTTTTTTCCAAGTTTTATAATACATTTTAAGCATTACTATGTCTGAGGTGCTAGAAATGTCCTAGACTGAAAGAAGAAATAGATAATATTATACTTGTTTCCATACTTTATATTACATATCTATGTATTTAGTAGAACATCTTTCTGTCTGTTGGAATTTGAGAAAATGACAAGGGATCACATTTATGAGTAGAAAAATTTCTCTGTAAAAATGTGAACATTTTGTGTTTTACATCACATTAATTATTCTTTTCTTGTACAGCTTAAATTTTCGGGTCCCGATAATGTACCTCTGGTGAACAAGTTGTTGCAACTGGAGCTCAATGATGAATTTATAGGAAATTACACTACAGATGAGAATGGCGAGGCTCAATTTTCCATTGACACTTCAGACATATTTGAGCCAGAGTTCAACCTAAAAGTAAGACATCAAAGAATAGAGGAAGACCATTAGACATCCCACAGAGGATTTGGATGACAGAAATGTTCAACATTAAGAATATCTTAAGAGATAACTTGTATTCAGAATATATTTTAATAAAAATTTAAAATGTAGCTTACTTTATATAATTTGTTTGTTCACTAAATAATATATGAGAATACTTGTCCAAGAAGACGAGAAGCTGAAAGTGTATTACAGTTGTTAGACATTCTCTAACAACTAATATTTTCCTCCAGGAAACAAGAAGTTGCTCGTGAGGATGATTTGACTTTCTGACTCAGATCATTTCATGCATAGATAGGGGAGATCCTATGTTTTCTCTTTATTTTCTGATGCGCAAACAGAATTTCACAGTTAAATAATTTTCAGTGCTCACATGTAAGTGAAAGAAACAGAGCTCAAGCCCAATTCTGTGGCTTCAATGAAAGAATAAAGAACACAACAATTCTCCGTCAGTCTAATCAAATATTTACACAATCTTTCATGGTCATGTTTTGTATACAAAGAGCAGAGTGCTATTATTATTTTGATTCCAAGAAGTTAACATTATAAAGTCAGCCACAAGTTGAGATTCCTCCCTGTTTTGAAGACTTGAGAAATCTCCATTCTGCAGTAACAACTGTCTTCGGATGTCATGATAGCTCTAAGACCCTCTACTTTCTTTTCTCCTCTCAGGCCACGTATGTTCGACCTAAGAGCTGCTATCTTCCCAGCTGGTTGACGCCTCAGTACTTGGATGCTCACTTCTTAGTCTCACGCTTTTACTCCCGCACCAACAGCTTCCTGAAGATTGTTCCTGAACCAAAGCAGCTTGAATGTAATCAACAGAAGGTTGTTACTGTGCATTACTCCCTAAACAGTGAAGCATATAAGGATGACTCCAGTGTAAACTTCTTCTATTTGGTGAGTCTTGGTCAGTGGGTTCCTGGAATCCTGTTCAATTCTACATCTGCTTAGCCTAGCACAGCTTAGAAAGCATGCATCAGCCACTCCATGGTGACCAGAGTGAGGGCAGCCTTCTCACTCTGCTGGTGAATACTGTTCGGTCCATTAACAACAAACAAACACAAAATGATCTAAGGGAATTGAAGTTTCCCTAAGGTTGAAGAAGTTGCTATTCAGAGTCTGCTTGTTTAAGCATTCAAATGTAACTCATAGCAAGTATTTATGACCCTCGGTAATAGTAAAATATCAGGCAGATGCCAGAAAGTAAGGTGGAAAGCTCGTTTTGATAAGCAGTAAAAGGACTTTGTTCTCTTGGTTCTGTCCACTTTGTCTCTCTACAGTGGAGCCACTGATGTTTTTGGCACCAGAAACTGACTGGTTTCATGGAAGACAATCTTTCCACAGATGGGGTGGGGATGGGGGGATGGCTTCATGATGGTTCAAGCATATTATATTTATTGTGCACTTTATTTCTATAATTATTACATACTCACCATAATGTAGAGTCAGTGAGAACACTGTGCTTGCTTTCCTGCAGCTAGATGGTCTCATCTGGGGGTGATGGGAGACAGTGACAGATCATCAGGCATTAGTTTCTCATAAGGAGTATGCAACCTAGATCCCTCACATGTACAGTTCACAATAGAGTTTGCACCCTGTAAGAATCTAATACCTCTGCCGATCTGACCGGAGCTCAGGTGGTAATGCTTACTCACCACACCACTCACCTCCTGCTATGTAACCCAGTACCTAACAGCCCATGGACAGGTACCTACTGGTACCTACAGCCTGGGGACTGGGGCCTTCTGCTCTAAAGCCTATTGAAGAGTGAAAAGACACTGACTTGGAAATTAAGACATTAACTTGACTCCCCCACCCTTTCCTAGTTAGCACGTAAATTAGTGCATCTTGGACAGATCGTTTCAACTCTTTAAGCCTTGGTTTCCTCGAGTGTACATTGTAATTGGAGATGGTCAAACTTACCTTTTAGGGTAAGTGTTCTGTGTAAGGCACTGTTATAAAGATTGTATATGTGATAACTCATTTAATCAGCCTTATAGATAGCTCCATTTTACAGATAATGGAATAGAGACAAACAGGTGAAAACACCATGTCTTAAGTCACAAAGTTAAGAGCAGGCGAAGGCATATTTGGAACCAGACAGTCTCGACAATTTCAGAGCTTTATGTGCCACTTTGCATGGTGCGTTGCACATAGTTCACAAAGTTTCCAGTATATAATAAAATCTCTATCAATTGTAGTCACTTTCTCTGCTCTTTTCCAACTTACGCAAAGTCAATTTTTAATATTTGCTTGTGGAAGCTACCCTATCTTATGGAACAGAATGACCGCTAAGTAATAAATTCCCTCATCACAATATGAGAATATGATGATATTAGAAAACATATTGCATGCTATGTTTTCTTTGTTCTGCACAGATGATGGCAAAAGGAGCTATCTTACTCAGTGGACAAAAGGAGATCAGAAACAAAGGTATATGTAACATACTTATTCTAAAATATGTACTCTACCTACATTTTTTCTTAAGGAAATACAGAAATTATATATATGGGAATTATATATAAAGAAAATATATTGATATATAGTCAAAAATATACATATATACATATATAATATATATATAACATTTACATATATAAACATATATATGTTACATACATATGTAACATACAAATATATATATTTGAAAGATCATCAGGCATTAGATTCTCATAAGGAGCACACAACCTAGATCCCTCACATGTGCGGTTCACAGTAGGGTTTGCACTCTTATGAGAATCTAATATTTGTATATTTGTGTATTATGCATGCATATGTGTGTATGTTTATTATACATATGTGTATGTATATTATACAAATGTATATGTATAGTGAAAAGAAGTTAGAATGAGCACTTACTTAAATTTGCAGATGAAGAGAATAGTTAGCACAACCTGAGGTGAGCTACTAAATGTCTTGATGAAGGAGAGTTTTGTTTCTTTCGTTGTCGGGTCATTGAGTCCATTAGAAAAGTGGTGTTCAAAATCCCAGTATATTGTTATTATCTAAATCATGCAGTCTTATTTTATAGGTACTTCCTAGCATTTAATTTATTTGCCTTGAAAACAAAGCCCAATTTGCTCTTTCTGTCCATGAGCCGTTCTCTTTCATCTAAGTGTACCAGTGATCCAGGAAACTTTGAGCATTTTGTCTGTTCGTCTCCTATTTACACAGCCTGGAATGGAAACTTCTCATTTCCGATCAGCATCAGTGCTGATGCGGCTCCTGCGGCTGTCCTGTTTGTCTACACCCTTCACCCCAGTGGGGAAATTGTGGCTGACAGTGTCAGATTCCAGATTGACAAGTGCTTTAAACACAAGGTGATGTTTCTATTTCTGGCCTTATAAATGGGAACAGTTTGTTCCCCGATGTCTTCTCGTCTGACTACTATCACCTTCACGTGAGAAACTCACACTCAGTGTTGGCATAATTGAATTATTAGGGGATGAAGGAATCACCAAATAGAATGCATGATCCTTGGCAGCTGTGAAAATCCTGAGATAGCAGCATGGTGGTGAAAGGGGTCTCCTGCAAGGAGAGCTGAGGGTGAGAGTGGGCTTGGGAAATACCGTACAGAAATCTATGAGGATTTATTCAGGAGCAATTAAATGTATTCAGATCATCTTTACATAAAATTGTCTCCACTCTCTTCTCTTTTTTTTTTCTCTTGACTTTAGGTTAGCATGAAGTTCTCTAAAGAGCAGGGCCTCCCTGGCTCCAATGCTAGTCTTTATCTTCACGCGGCCCCTGACTCATTTTGTGCTCTCCGGGCAGTGGATAGAAGCGTCGTCCTACTGGAATCAGCACAGCTGTCTGCGGAAAGTGTAAGCTCTCGGATTCTTGTTTCTCATGTTTCTCTGAACTCCCGGAAGTGTTACCCTTCAGATGATGTTTTTGAGATGCAACATGTTGAAGATATTGAATGTTTTCTTCCTTTGTTCCTTCATGGATTATATACTTATTTCTCTTGGCTATCCTAAGAGCATGCTTATAACAGTACAGAATTTGATAGATAATTGTAACAGTTTAGTTTTAGAGCTGTGATTTTTTAAAATCATAGGTGTAATCATAGATGTGGAAACCTGAAATAAAATGAAATCTCTATCTTCAAGGATATGCTTGGATTCAGTGTAAAGTTATTACCTATTAATGGATCTTGTATTTTTTTTTAAACATTTCCAGGCCTGGAATTCCAGAAGTTCACATCGAATTTATTTTGGTTAAAATTTGTTGAATATTTTCCCTTTATTTCTAACACAATTACATATAAATAACTGTTGAAATTTATAATCATATTTAAGTCTAATTCAATGATTTAATTTTTTCTGATTAAGATTATACCTGTATGTTATAGACCATGTACAAAGTGCACTAAAACATAAAGAAGGAAATCTTCGAGATCATTCATAGTCCTAATGCTTAGATGTCTTTATAGTTTTGTTGTAATTTTTTAAATCTCTTTTCTGAAGGCATATATATTTTACAAACTTGAGATCCCACCGAAAAATACAGTTTTGTATTTTGCTTTCAACCCTCCATAGTAAGTTCAGTTTTAAATATAAAATTATAGAATTCAGTAGTAATATTGAATAACTATGAATCATGATATAAACCATATATTTTTCTCAATTCAAAACATAAATATATTTAAGTTTTCTATTACAGGGAGTGAAAATACTTTAAGAAGCTTTCAGAATCTGAGGAGGCATCAACAAATAAAGGACAAATTTATCTATAAATATAGAATATGGCCGTGTGCTGTGCTCATACCTGTAATCCCAGCACTTTGGGAGGCCAAGGCAGGCAGATTGTTTGAGCTCAAGAGGTTGAGACCAGCCTGCACATGATGAGACTCTGTCTCTAACAAAAGTATAAAAAGTGAGCTGGGCACAGTGGTTTATTTGTGTGATCTCAGCAACTTGGGAGATTGAGGTGGGAGAACCCCTTGAACCCTGGCAGGGGCAGAAGTTGCAGTGAGCCAAGATCATGCCACTGCACTCCATCCTGGGTAACAGAGTGAGGCCCTGTCTCAAAAAAAAAAAAAGGAATATGTATATATGTGTGTATACACATATATATTTAAACACACACTCACATTATTTTTTGTTCTCTGAGAGTTTTATGGATTCTGAATAAATAGCTTCTGCTCATTCTTCCTACAGTTAGAGCGTCAAGATCTTAGGAAAACTGCCTCAAGGAAAGACTATCAAGGGACCTCAAAAATAAAATTCTAGAGGCATTTTCAGGGGTCTCAGAATATATCAGAGCCAAGAGAGGTTGCCCTTGTTTATAATTGATAACTATATTAATAGTATAAATCAAGTAAAGTTCTATAAATGAGTGAATTCCAATTTATATTCTATAAATTTATGTTATTTTTTATATTATCTTATGTAAGCTTAGTTTTTAGTTTTAAATAATTTTTAAAAGTGCAAGAATTAAACAGAGAACTCCCATGTACCCTTGACCTGATTCACCAGTTTTTTAACATTTGCCATGCTTGTTTTCTCTCTCACTCTCTCCACTTCTACACACACACACACACACACACACACAAACACACACCGTTTATGGCATTTCAATTTTTTTCTGAATCATTTGAGGCTAGGTTACATACATCAGTCTAGTGTGAAGAGAAAATAACTTGGAACCCTAATTCATGATTCTAAACCGAAAAAAATAATGAAGCTGAAAACTGAGTCCTGCAACAAGTCACTTTTCTTTTGTTTCTAAGCAGATAGCTACTTTTTTTTTCTTGTTACATTAGTTCGCCGTGGTTCACCGGTTTTGCTGAGTTTTCCAAAAACATATAATTTTAATTTATTAATGTAATATGAAGTTTTTTGGTACTCTACCACATTAATTTCTATTTTTCCCTTTATTATTTCCTTCCTGCTGCTTTATTTTGTTGTTATTTTTAGCTTTTACATTTAGAAATTGACTTGATTTTCATTGGGTTCGGTGTTTTTAAGCCTTTAAGTTTTTCTGTGATTTCTACTTTTGAAGTATCTCATATATCCTGATACACAGCAATTGCACCATTTTTATTTTTCAGAAATTCTGTAATTTCTGTTTGTGTTAATCTTTTCACTGAAAATTTGCTTACTGGAGTATTTTTTAATTTTTATATAAAAAGGAATTTATTTTAGAGTTTTCTTTTAAATTTCAAGTTCTTGATGGTTGGCAGTATTTCTACTGATACACTTTTGAGCCCAAATATACAGTGAGTTTTTGTGAATATATCACATATATTGAGAGGACATAGTTTGTTCTTTTTTTAATTGTACTTTAGGTTCTGGGGTACATGTGCGGATCATGCAGGATTGTTGCATAGGTACACACATGGCAATGTGGTTTGCTGCCTCCATCCTCCCGTCACCTATATCTGGTATTTCTCTCCATGTTATCCCTCCCCAACCTCCCCACCCCCCACTGTCCCTCCCTTAACCCCCAAAACAGACCCCAGTATGTGATGCTCCCCTCCCTGTGCT